TACATCATGGGTAACACTTTGTTCATGGGCACAAGGAAAGATGAATAAAATGAGAGAGTCTTATTGGTGAAAACCCTCACGGGCACCGTAAAGCGATGGTGAGCTGAGAGAAAGTTTAAAATGAGAGAGTCTTATTGGTGAAAATCCTCGCGGGCACCATGAGGCGACGACAAGTTGAGAGAAGAACAAATGAGAGAGGCTTGTTGGTGAAAACCTTCGGGGCAGTACAAGTCGAATGAGGTTCGTGACTTTACAGAGAAATTAGATCATTGAAAGTCTGGGTTTTTGAAGTATGAAGACATGGCATGAACTGAAATGTGATTGGGTTGATCAATCCGAAATGTATGTCATGATCATCAGAGTCAACTGCTTCACTCAGATAAGTCTCTTTTCCATTCTTCTTCAAATAGTTATCTTTGTTCGAAATTTTCCTTTTTATGCCTAATTCTCGAAGTCACTTCACTTCGTTTCTTTTGGGTCTATTTTCCGAGTCTATTTCAAGTTAGTTTTTGTCAAACAAGCAAGAAAGGATTTTAAAGCCTATTACCAGCTTTTTGATTGCACAAAGCGAAGTTCGTCCAGAGCACATCACAAGTGACATGATTCAGAATGAGCAATAAGGTAATAATTGAATTTTAGATGATCAAGTGATTCGTGAATGTTGAAAAAATACAAAAGCTCAACAATTGTCAGAATGAAAATGCCATACAACAAGGGAGTATAATGGATGCAGGTCATTCATAGGTTTTTATGGTCGAGGTTCGATCAAGAAGGTCAAATAATTCTTTGCTAGCCCGAAGCAGCTAATCAAGAATGAAGCGTGGTAGTGGCAGAAATAGACACCTTCAGCAAGGATGCCACAAACTAACCACCATATTTTTAAACTGACGAGATTTTCTTTGTTTGAAACAGGGGCAAGAATTTTTGTTCGTTCTGCAGGAATCTTCCATGAGGAAAGTATGTTCTAGAAAGTTTTCTTTGTTTTGTCTATGTTGTTGTGATCGCAGGCATCCACCTGGAGAATGAGGGAATTCATTTCAAGTTTCAAGGCAGTAACAGGCGCCCACCTGGAGAACGAGGGGATTCATTTAAAGCCCACCTGGAAAAAGAGGGAATTCATTTCATGTTTCAAGGCAGTAACAGGCGCCCACCTGGAGAATGATGGAATTAATTTCAAGTTTCAAGGCAGTAACTGGCGCCCATCTAGAGAATGAAGAAATTCATTTCACATTCAAAACAGTAACAGGCGCCCACCAGGAGAACGAGGGAATTCATTTCAGAATTTGTTTCAAATTTCAGGCCAGCATCAGACGCCCACCTGGAGAATGAGGGTATTTATTTCGAGTTCAAGTCATCGATAGGCGCCCACCTGGAGAACGAGGGAATTCACTTCGAGTTCAAGTCATCGACAGGCGCGCACCTAGAGAATGAGGGAATTTGTTTCGAGTTCATGTCATCGACAGGTGCCCACCTGGAGAACGAGAGAATACATTTCAAGTTTCAAGTCATTGGTAGGCGCCCACCTAGAGAATAAGGAAATTTATTTCGAGTTCAAGTCATTGGCAGGTGCCCACCTGGAGAACGAGGGAATTCATTTCAAGTTTTAAGTCATTGGCAAGCGCCCACCTGAAGAATGGAGGAATTTATTTCAAGTTCAAGTCAGTGGCATACGCCCACCTGGAGAATGAAGGAATTTATTTCGAGTTCGAGTCATTGGAAGGCGTCCACGTGGAGAATGAGGGAATTTATTTCAATCGTCAAGTTAGTAGCAGGCACCCACCTAGAGAACAAGGGTATCGTTGCAGAGTTATTTCATGTCAAGTCAGTAGCAGGCACCCACCTGGAGAACGAGGGGATTCACTTAGGATTAAATTCAAGTTCAAACCAACAGCAGGAACCAGCCTGAAGAACAGGGTCAGTTCAAGCTAGCAGTAGCACTCGCCTCAAGACTGCGAGTCAACAGTTCGAGATGCACACCAAGATGTAGAAAGTTCAATATCAAGCTTAAGAAGACTTTATAGATAGGAATTTTGTAACTCATAGCTGATAGGCTTGTTTAGTTTCCTTTTATTTTGATTTTGGTGTAATAAGGAGTTCAGCAAGCAGTAACAACAGCAACAACAGTGAAATCGTAGTTTCTCGGTAGTCCCAGCTACCAAAGTTTGCATAACTATACTAACCCGATTCCTTTATAGCCAGGAATATGTAGGCAACCTCCGAAGCAAGGTTCGATCAAACTTTTTCAAAACGCTTCCCATGGAGTGTCCATACGGGCAAAAATTGCTCGTATTTACTCACTTTCGTCTTTGTTCAAAAACTCTTCGTGTTTTCGAGCAAAGAGGGGTGTCACACCTCCTTTTTACCCGCGCTGCAAGGGCGCAGAGGGAATTTTTCCAATTAAAGGACAATCGAAACGGGATTTATTATTTATTTTTCAGAGTCGCCACTTGGGAGATTTATGGTGTCCTAAGTCACCGGTTGAATCCCGAATCGAGGAAAATATTGACTCTGTTTAACAGTCTGCGCACCAGAAATCTGGATAAGGAATTATGTTAACTCGGGAGAAGGTGTTAGGCATTCCCGAGTTCCGTGGTTCTAGCACGGTCACTCAAATGTCATATTCGGCTTGATTATCTGATATAATACATGTTGAACATATGTGCGAATTTTAACTTTTAACAGCTTTTATCATTATTATTATTTTTATCGAGAATTGCAACATCATGAAAATATATCTCGAACCACGTCACATCAATGTACCCGTGGTTATCGACATATTTCGACTCTGTTGAGATTTGGATTTGGGTCACATAAATGTGCACCCGAGTTTAAGAAAATAAATTGTTAAAGGCGTGCCTAAAGCGACTAGCGTATCATTATTTTGGGGTAAGGCCGTGAAATTTGTTAAATGACCGATTTCGAAGTCTATACAATTATTAACCATTTATTGAGGGCCCCGCAACTTATGCGTTTTATTGGGTGAGGCTCATCTCATTTATTTTAACAGGATAATCCTAAAGTGCCTACATTTTTTCTATTAAATTTGTCTCTAAAAATGAAAGAGAAAAGGTCCTAATTTATTTACATGCTTACGAGTTGTTATAGTTGGGTTCCGAATATGATTCGTAAAATCTGAAAATGATGCAAGCAGGGCAGT